CCCCAAAACCCCAAAACCCCAAAACCCCAAAACCCCAAAACCCCATGTATTGAAAATAAAAGAGAAGTATGAGTGATCATCTAACAATTTTAATAAATATAAGAGCTGAAAATTTTAATAAATGATCTTTGTTAGTAATTTGATAATTATTAACTTTACAATGATGGAATACCTGCCAGATATAATAGTAAATCAGGATTAGTTCCAAACGTTTGAATCTTAGAGATCTGAAGACCATAACGATGGCATTCTCAATAAGAAAATAAGATCTAGAGCAAACAAATGAAACTTAAATCAGTATTTAAAAGGATTTTCCACAGCGAAACAGAACTCAATACTAGAATCTTATATACTTTAATCAACGAATTCGACATCGAGCTTGGAAAACTAGGAAAAATAGAGGGCCAGCATTTTTAAAAATCAATTGCTTAAGAATTTGAGAATCGTAGACTAATAAGATGAATATGACCAATCTACATTTGTCGATGCTAAAAAATATCAGGAAAGCCCACCTCGATTAGATACAGTTGAAAGGATTAAAAGGCCGATAGAAAAGATGAAGCACAGCAGCATTTATTTCAATAAAACATTTTTGATAGATCAGTAGTTCAACAGTAATAGCAACAACAACAATTCAAAGCTCAGGTAATTGAACCTTAACTATCTATCTCAGGAGACTAGCCCCATTGAGATAGTTGTTAACAAGAGCAAGTAAAATTCAAATTAAGTTTTTTCTCCGAAAGCTAATCGAAATGAATCTATTGGAACTTTAAAAAAGTTGATCCAAGAAAGAGCAGACACCGGTAAACTTATAGAAATCGAGCATGCAAAAATAGCAATGAACCTAAATCCAGTATAGCAACTGCAAAAGACAAGGCAAAATATTAATTTTAGCCCATTTGAAATGAAAAGTACAGATGTACCTAGAAAGAGGAAGATTAGCTTTGGAAGTATTTCAAGCTTTTATCAACATTTAAACCCCAATGTTCAACCAATGGATCCATTAAACAAAACCATTTATAAATAACTAGAACAAAAGGAAGGTATCATTTTAAAAAAGCTAAGCACAAACTTTAACAGCACAAATAATAGCAATAATCATCATTATGTTCATTTTCCTGCCAATATAAGTCCAATTATATAAATGACTCACAGAGTTCAAATGAACACTGATATGTAGATTAAAAAAAAGAGCAGCTAAAGAGCAACTCCAATTAAAATTTTTAAAAATAACATTATCCAAGAAAATCTCAAACTAAGTTAGCGTAGCTACGTCTTTCCATCATTTCATGAAACATCTTAGCTTCGTTAGATGCTGATTGATAAAATTCATCATAGAAAATACAAATTGGAGGCTCGCAAGTTACAAAATTAAAGTGTGGATTTAAAAAATTAAACTCCAAGTTTTATAATAAGTGCTTAGAGTGATATTCATTCAAATAGGAACCAATATAAACGATTTTTCGATTTAAGCGTCAGAAGAAATAATATTAATAATCATGACCAATCCTACCTCAATTACAACGATTTGTGAGTTAACTTATATCATTTAAGACCAGCGACTTAATATGCATTATAACAATAATAGATTAAATGTAGATATCCATCAAATCGCTTGTTATTTTAAACAGCGGGGTTTTGGGGTTTTGGGGTTTTGGGG